TAGAAGAGCCTGGCATTTGAGTGTGCCATGCCATGAACAATTTTAAAGATATAAACAGCTTACTGAAATGTAATTTATGTGCTGAACATTTCACCCATTTGTAAAGTGCAATTAATGAGATGTTGATTAGGATTTACTACAAGGAATTTTAGGATATCCAGTAATAATCTTAGAACATTTTAATCTCTTTCACACAAAAAGTGTGCATTAGCAGTCAATCCCAGCTGCCTCTTTCTCCAGACCCTGCTGACTCCTGGTGCACACGGTGTCTCTGGGTTTCCCATTTGTTTCATAGAGGCAGTCTTCTTTCATTTAGCACTATGTTTCAAAGTTATTCCTGGCATCAAACTTTTTTTAAATGCTTCATTTGACTTTCTTCATACCTGTATTCCACTTCAAAAGACAAACCTAAGAATCAACCTCTTGGACTGATGTGTGTGACTATGTAGAAGTGAAGTCTGCCGTGTGCCCCATTAGCATACTGCCGTGAATGTCAGCAAAGCAAACTCTCCCTTACCTGGCCTCTGGCAAAGGTAGAGCAATGATTGTACACTAGGGTGATGCCATTAGGTGAGAACTTCGCTTCATGTGGTCAGCTGCCACAGAAATTCCCACTCAAAACTCACAGCTCCAAGTCCATCAGCAGTGGTGGCCCTTAGGTCAGCGTCACCCCTTCCACAACAGCAGGTAATTATAGTCAGTCAGGCTTGTTGGCAGCAAAGACCAAGCCTGAGTCTTTGTGTCCATCAAGTTACAGGCAGTTGTGAAGCTCTAGATGTGCTGAGAACCAAATTGGGGTCCTCTGCAAGAGCAGCAAGTGCTTCTGAGCCCCAGCAGTTGCATTCTTAGGAAAGATCCTGAGATTCTTGAAATAGCTGTGCTCTTTTTAAAAAGTGCAAAAACTTAACCTTGTGAGTAGCCACACTCCTGCCGGTTGCCAACAGTGCCGTACTCTCTGTGCCTTCTAATGGATTGTAACCTTGGCGACTGTGGAGAGAAGCTCTGCTGTGGTGTATGACCACTCTGTGACAGTGGTAACTGGTCAGGAAAGTGCTTATTTAAAGTAAAAGCACTGCTTGGATTCTTTTTCTTTTTTGTTTTAAGAATTAGGAAATACTCCTTCAGTAGAGCATTTTAAAATTTATTTCCTTTTATTTTGTCTGCATATGTCTACCTGAGAGTGTTGGGTGCCATGGAACGGGAATTACAGACAGTTGTGAGTCTCCATGTGGATGCTGGAAATTGATCCCCAGATCCTCTGAAGAGCAGTTAGTGCTCTTAACCACTGAGCTGTCTTTCCAGTCCCCACTTCTTGGGTTTTTTTTTTCTTTTTTTTCCCTGTTTTGGTTTTTGGGGTTGTTTTTGTTTGTTTGTTTGTTGTTGTTGTTTTGGTTTTTGGGTTTTTTTGAGACAGGGTATCTCTATGACAGAGCCCTGGCTGTCTTGGAACCCGCTTTGTGGACCAGGCTGGCCTCACACCACAGAGATCCTCCTGCTGCTGCCTCCAGACTACTGGGATTAAAGGGGTTCACTACCACACCTGGCCACTTCCTGGATTTTATTGTGAAAAGAAAATGCTCAATTTGGGGGAAGACATTAATTATAAACATGCATTAATTATTATGATAAACAGTGAATGGATCAATGTGAATGAATAGATTTAATTTTCCTCACAGAATACTTAGCAAAGCATCCCTCAACATAGCATTTATAGCATTAGCATTAAGTCTTTTTCAAAAATGTGTACAACATCAACAGTCAGTTGGTGTTTATGCTGCTTGCTGTGCTAAGAATGATCACATCTTTTATTTCTGAACTGGGAGACACTTAGGTCCCTTGTCAGCATGCAGAGAATGAACTTGGACTAACCTAATTGATAGTAGGACACTGAGTATTTCATGTGATGAAGCATACAGAATTTACAGGTATTGTAGCCTTATACCATCACCCAGGTTAGGTACAATTTCAAGTCCCACAAAGGACTCTTGGGATTCCACTCAGGGCCAGTGGAGGTCTCTAAAGCACTCTTAGTTTTGGCTAGTTTTGAGTGTTATATAATTGTAATGATCTATGTATTCTTTCTTCATTTTTATATCTGAAGTTCAGTCATATTTTGTGTCTGGAGTGATGTATTATGTCACTTGAATTTGTTTCTGGATTTGGGGCTTTTACATACTTGGACATATGCCTGTCTGGTTCACAGCATTCATATATATTGGACATATACCAGGAAATAGAATTGTTGGTTTACAGGGATCATTGTTTAGCGTTAGTGGATGCTGCCGGACATTTTTCAGAGTGACTGAACTGCAATATAAGTGAGTCCCATTTGGTCTGTATCATCGTGAATGTTTAATTACTCCCTTCTTCCTCTTTGGCATATTAAGAGCCCTTTGGGCATAGAGCTTGTGGTGGTATAGCTGGGTCAAATGGTAGTTTGATATTTAACTTTGATCTTTAGGAACCTCTAGTGATTTCCATGTGGCTGTACCAGTTCACATTCCCATCTGCAGTGAGCAAGGGTTCTTCCTTCCCAGTGTTCATTGACAACAGCCTTTCTGTCTTAGTAGGGTAGAATCACCAGGTAACTTAAGTTTGTATTTCCACGATGGGTGAGGATGTGGAACACTTAATCAAACATTTGTTGGCATGTGTATTTCTGCTTTTGAAAACTGTCTATCATTTCACCAGCCCACTTTTTGATGGGGTGATCTTTCTGAAGTTATTATTTGCAGCTCATTATTCTTGGTATCAATCCCCAGTCTGCCGTGCACTTGCAGGTCTATCTCTTGTTTTGTAGTCTCTCCTCACTGTGCTGATTGTTACCTTTGCTGTGCAGAGCCTTTTAATTTCACAGCATCCCATTGGTGAGTCCTTGGGAATGTTTCCTGTGCTGTTGGAGTCATTTTAATCAAGTCCTGCCTGTATCTATATCTTGATGAGTTTTGTCTCGATGGTTTCCTCTAGCAGTTTTAGAGTTTCGGGTCTTGCATTAAGATCTTTAATCCATTTTGAATTGATTCTTCTGCATGTTGATATGTAAATTTTCTGTGCTATTTGATGAAAAACCTTTCTGTCTTTGAGTATATCATTGGTTGTACCTGTGTGAGTTTATTTCTGAATTCTGTATTCTACTCCATTGACCTACATGTCTGTTTCCTGCTGGTATCATACACATTTAGTTCCTCTGACTCTATGGTATAATTTGAGATTGAGTGGCTTTTTCTGCTTAGGGTCCTTTGATTATTTCAAATCTTTGGCATTTTGGTGTGAATTTCAGGATCATTTTTTTTTATTATTTTTGTAAAGAGTGTCATTAGAATTTTTATGGAGACTTGTGTAGTATCTGTAGATTTGGGAAGGGCGGCAATAGGGCCCTTTTTGCAGTATCTTGAGGCTGTAACTATCTATTCAGTTTCTTCAGTGTCTTTATAGTTGTATTTTTAGAGATCTTTCACCTTCTTAGTAGGTTTATTTCTCATTTTCTTAAAACTATTGTGAATGTTTCTTTCTCAGCAAGTTTGCTGTTGATACAAAGAAAGCTACTGTTTGTATTGATTTTGCATCCTGCTGCTTTACTGATGGTTTAGAGATACAGAAATTTTTCTGGTGGAAGATTTAAAATTTCTTAAGTATAGGATTGTGTTGTCTGGAAATTGGGACAATTTGACCTGTTTTTATTTGTATCCTTTTCATTCTTTCTCTTGTCTTACTTGGCTAAGACATTGAATGTTGTATATCACAGAAGTGTGGCGAGCATGCCCTCTTGTCTTGCTCTCAGCTCAGAGGAAATGCTCTGAAAATTTCCCACTTTAGTAGAGCGTTGACTCCAGGTCTGATGTGTTTAGTCTTTGTTATGTTCAAGTGTGTTCAGGCCTTTACTCTGCAGGGATGTTGTACGTTGTCATCTCTTGAGGTGATTGTGTGGTTTTTGTCCTTAAGTCTTGTATGCTGTGTTACATTTAACACTTAAATGTATGTTATTGAATCATGCATCCTGTAATGATACTACATGCATTCTTAATATGTATTCTTGAATTAGGTTTTCAAGAATTTTGAGAATTTTTGTCTAGTGTTGAAGGATATTGGTTTATATAGGTTTTTGTTTTGTTTGTTAGGCTCTTACCTGGTTTTAGTTTCAGGTAAGACCTCATATAATGAGTTTGTAGTGTTCCTTCCCATTCTTGGTTAAAGCAAATGGACAAGCTTTTTTCTTTTTTCTTTTCTTTTCTTTTCTTTCTTTCTTTCTTTTTTTTTTTTTTTGAAGTTGGCTTTCTTTTTCTAAGCATTGTCCTGCTATTTATTTCACAGTCTTACTGTTTGTAGTTGGCACTATAGTGATCTACAGGTAATTTTACCCACTCTTAGCACTAAAGCACCATGGCACAGACAGAGCTTCCTCTTGCTATTTCCAAGGACTTCTTGATAGAGCATCTTCCTTAACTAACATGTTTAAATATAGAAGCCAGTAGTCAAATAGTCTTTATAAAGTACAAACCGACATTTTGAGGAGTTGAGTAACATTTTGTATCTCTTCAGCACTCCTCATTCTAAAAATAGTTGACACTTTCCTGGTAGTGATATGTGTTAGGCTGTGTTTGATACTCTCCTACATCTTGTGACCTCTTTGTTTTGTTTTTGTTTTTCAACACAGGGTGTCTCTGTGTAGCTTTGGCTGTCCTGAAACTCACTCTGTACATCAGGCTGGCCTCGAACTCAGAGAGATCTGTTTGCCTCTGCCTCCTGAGTGCTGCTTATGACAACTCTTATCTGGCTTCTTTCCGTCTTAGATGACTCTTTAAACCTTTGCTTTGCTGCTGAACTATTTGTGTTCTGAACAAGGGAGTGAGTGGCTACAGGAATTTTAGAGCTATTTTTATTTTCTGGCTTTATGCATTTTGTTTTACTTTGAATACTTTTCTACTTTTATGATAACACTTTTCAGTTACGTTGATTAGTGTTCTTAGATTGAATTAGGCTCCTTTCCCCGTCTCTTTCAGGACTTGTCCGAATGAAAGAAGCATATGGCACCTGTGAAGTTAAATGTCTCTCCTCCTCTCCACTTGGGCCTTCCGCTGGAGACCTGCCTGTGACTGCACCTGTGACCCACGCTTTTCCCGTCTACTGACTTTGGTTACAGGAAAGCCTCTGAAGATTGCTGTCAAAATCTCCTGACTTTGGTTACAGGAAAGCCTCTGAAGATTGCTGTCAAATGACGTCAATGGCCAGCTTGTTTTCTTTCACTAGTCCAGCCGTGAAGCGATTGCTGGGCTGGAAACAAGGTGATGAGGAAGAAAAATGGGCAGAAAAGGCAGTCGATGCCTTAGTGAAAAAGCTGAAGAAGAAGAAGGGTGCCATGGAGGAGTTGGAGAAAGCCTTGAGTAGCCCAGGACAGCCCAGCAAGTGTGTCACTATCCCCAGGTCCTTGGATGGACGCCTACAAGTTTCTCACAGGAAAGGCTTACCCCATGTTATATATTGTCGTGTTTGGCGTTGGCCAGATTTACAGAGTCATCATGAGCTAAAGCCATTGGATATTTGCGAATTTCCTTTTGGATCTAAGCAAAAGGAAGTTTGTATCAATCCGTACCACTATAAGAGAGTGGAGAGTCCAGGTAAGTTTTGCCCAACTGAGAAGAATTAAGAACAAACAAAAAAACCAACATGTCTCTCCGATTTGCACATAATTAGGCTTATTATGTCAGCCTTTGTTAAAGATTTCATCTTAGGAATACTGGGTTTTAAAGTTAACATTTTTTGAACATTAAAACTCTTGATTGGCTGTTGGAACTCACTGTCTCTAATAACACCCATTACTTTTCTGTGGCCGACATCTCTGTCATGCTAAATACATGTTCCATGTTCACACTAGACCCTACTCCCTCCTGTTTGTTTGGGAGCTTTGTTGTCAACATATCAACTATTTTTCTGGCTTTACATCTTCCCTGTCTACAAGAGTCTGTCTTTTTCATTAAAATACGTTTACTTTTTGCATGGTGTGTGTATGACAGCATATGTGGCAATCAGATGACAGTTTTGGGGAGTCAGAAAGTCTTTCCTTGATCTTACTCATTATTCATTTTTCAATGCCCAGGATAATACTCTTTACTAGTTGTTAGTAGATATAGTGGTCAGTATTTTTTAGTTTTTTTTTTTTTTTTTTTTTTTTTTTTTTTTTTTTTGTGAATTGAGTTATGTAAGATGATGTCTTAGTCCCTTTATTGCTGCTATAGCAGAATACCACAGCCTGGGTAAGTTCATTCTACTGAGAAGAATTAAAAAAAAAAAAAAACCCACATGTATTTCTCTAATTTGCACATTACTAGGTTTATTGGCTAAAAAGTTACATTAGCCTTTGTTCAAGATTAACAGTAGAAGTCCTGGAGCATAGAAAGTCCAGGATTAAGTGACTGTCTGGAGTGGGTCTTATAACTAACTCTACCACAGAAGAGTATATGAGTGTGAGTGACGGAGAGGATAGAAGGAGGCAATAACATATATAAAGAAGCCTAGTTCTATTTTTCCTGTGGTGCCTGGGATCAAAACCAGAGTCGTGTGCATTTTAGGGGAGTGCCCTACCATGGCGCTACACTCCAGCCCAAGCAACCTGTTGATGTAAGAACAATTCCACCTCTACAGGGCTACAGTCTCGTCACCTTTTGTAGGCCCCATCTCCAAGTACTGTCATGTTGGGAATTAAGTTTCTGGCCCATGAACTTCATAAAATTTCTCAAAGCAGTTAGGTTTTTTAGTTATCTGTTGCTACACAATAAATAGCCACATGTGTGGTAGTTTAAGCATAGCACACATTTACTACCTTATAGTTTCTGGGGGTCTCTTGTGAGTTTCTCATCAAGGCGTCTATCACAGCTGGGTGCACTTCAGATAGGTAAGGGGCAGTTACTCTGAAGCTCACTGTGATACTGACAAGACTTAGTTCCTGGACAGGCGGTTGGCCTCTGGCTGACTGTCAGCTGGAGACTCCTCCACTTGCTTACTGTGTGGCCTTCTGCATCAGTAGTTCACCTGTATATTTGTTCTCGTCTTTTTTTTTTTTTAAAGATCTTTATTTATTTGTTTATTTATTATGTATACAACATTTTGCTTCCACGTATATCTGCACACCAGAAGAGGGCACCAGATCTTATAACGGATGGTTATGAGACACCATGTGGTTGCTGGGAATTGAACTCAGGACTTCTGGAAGAACAGTCAGTGCTCTTAACCTCTGAGCCATCTCTCCAGCCCCTGTATATTTGTTCTTATGCTGTCATTCCCTTTCACAATGTTACATTTTCTCTCTCTACCAGACTATTCCTGAGAGCATGCGTGCATGTTATGTTTCTTCTTCAGAGCCAGTAAGGGCGTTTTCCTGCAAGAGGACATTGAATTCTTAGGGAGCATGACCACACTGCTGGTTAGGAACAAGTCCTCAGCTGTATGCTGAAGGGTCAGGGTTGTCTGAGCACATGAGTACCGAGAGTGTCTTCCCTGCTGGAGGGGTTGTGAGCCTGATGTGCTTGAGTGTGGAAACTGGTTACATTGTTGGTTAGTTGCTGGTTCATATTTGACAGGGGTCTGTTTCTTTGGAAGCCCAAGGAGAACCATGGTAATTTTACTTATAACATCTGAAAAAAGATGAAATAGGATACTGGAAATATTAGTGGTATGTACTTAAAATTAAGGAAATAGTTAACTTTACTAAAAACCCTGCTCAGGAGGAAAATGCACAATATACTTGGCTCCACAATGGGTTTTATATGTATTTTTTAGGAATATATAGCATGTGGGTATGAGTGTGTATAATACATGTATATGTAATAAACATTAGATACCAACTGAACCCAAATTTTAAAACCACGTGTTTATGTGTGTGGGTGCTTTGCTTGTATCGTGTGTGTGCCTGGTGCCTGAGGAAGCCAGAAGAGGGCATCAGATCCTCTAAAAGTGGAGAACCAAACCTAGGTTCTCTTATAGACAACCAGTACTCTTAACTGCTGAGCCATCTCTCCAGCCTCTTAACCCAGTTTTCAATATATTAGGAAAATAGAAAGGGCTAGAATAATATAAGAAAGATGCCTCGGTCAGTAGTCATAGCACTTGGGAGGCTGAGGAAGGAAGATTACTGTGTTTGAGGCTAGTCTGTGCAACAAAGGACCCCGTTTCAACCCCTTCCCCCACCAACACAAACAGTTGCTTCATTTGCTGTAAGAGCAAGTCTACTAATGATGTCATAGATCAGTAACATCAGTATAGCATAGTGCTCAGCAATGCAGAGTCAACAAGAGCCGAGCAGAGTTAAAATGGAAAAGGGCTCGAAACCGCTTGCATATTGCCATTTCTTACTAAATATGTTGAGAGAGCAGTCTTGCCTCTTTAACTCTCCACATATTTATGTGAAAATAAAAAATTATAATCATTTGCATAGACAGTATACAAATGAGAGGGAAAGCGAGGATTTTACCTATGCCTTCAAAAATACCTTGGCTGAACTGAATTTTTTATTTTACTGTTTTTCAGATTGCTAGGTAGCTAAACATAAATCCTTACTGTTTTCTCTTCTACTCTTTGATGGCAGTTGCCTCATCTTTGTCTAGCAATAGCAGTTATTAATATACAATAGAGCAAAAATAATTGTTGTGACTTACATACTTCCTATACTAATTCAGTAAAATTAAGGTAGCAGTACAAAATACTGACCACAGACAGGACCCTCTGGTTTCTTATGTGTGTACATTGTGACGTCAGAGAGGGCAAGTCTGACCTGGTTGACATAGATACTTGATTCTGTTGGTGCTGCATGGTAATAGAATCAAATTGAGTTCTGGTTTTTGTTTCTTTGTTTTGTTTTTCTGAAATGGAGTTCATTGACAACTAAAAGAATGTTGTAAAATAGGCGATTTGGTATGTTTAGTTTCCTACAGAGGAAAATACAGCTACTAGTCATTGTAGTTGAGGTCTTTAGAGAAAGTAGACATTTGAAAAAAGGAAGGTACTGATTTAAACTCTGAGCGGTTTCTGCATGTGTCCCGGTAGTCATACTTAGAGGGCTTTGCACTGTGGAGGGTTGTCCTTGATGGAGGAGAGCTGTGCCAGTCTCTAAATGCTAACCATGAGCTCTTATGCTCACAGTTGGGAATGCTCTGTTCCCAAGATACCACACTCGCCTCAACTTCCCTCCCTAGTCTTAGCCTCTGTCTAGATCAGTGCCTAGACCACCTTACTGTTTCCTCCTCCTGTGAAATCCTGTTGATCTGTTTGGTTCCCTGCTGGCTGGGCATGCTCATTTCTTGAATTCTCATTAATTGCTTTAAATGCTGCTGCTTATGGCTGCTTTTAAAATGGCTTGCATGGAGAATGGCTCCCTTTCTGAATTTCTGCTTCAGAGTCCATGCAGGCTGAATGCTGAAGGGCTTTGGATTAGTTCTGATGTAAATACAAATTCAGATTCCACAAAATAGCCTCCCCAACGGTAAACTTTAGTTACAGCTTACATGAGTCTTTCCCAGCAGCCCCCTAGGGTTCCTGACTGACTGAGTTTTGTTTTTCTTTCAGTCTTACCGCCAGTGTTAGTGCCTCGTCACAACGAGTTCAACCCACAACACAGCCTTCTGGTTCAGTTTAGGAACCTGAGCCACAACGACCCTCACATGCCACACAACGCCACGTTTCCAGATTCTTTCCAACAGCCCAACAGCACCCCTTTTCCCTTGTCTCCTAACAGCCCCTATCCCCCTTCCCCCGCCAGCAGCACATACCCCAGCTCCCCAGCAAGCTCTGCACCAGGAAGCCCATTCCAGCTCCCAGGTAAGACTTCACTGATATCTCTGGGAATTGTTGTAAGTGCTGCTCTTTGAGTGAGCTTGCGTTGATAACATTTCCTTTAAGAATTTATTTCCACAAGAACTAGAGTTTATTTTGCAAGTTCCATTAGCATGAAATACCCATTGTTGCTTGCTGTTCAAGTGACCTTTGAAGGAACATAGTTTTAAATGACACTGAAGAATGAAACGATGCCAGTAATTAGAAATGTACCTGCTGTAGTGTGTGCCATGGGTGACCTGTGACCTCAGGTTGCTGTGCAGCAGTGCAGTTTCTTTGAACACAGATGTCTTTAAAACAAAGGAAAACCACTTGACCTTGGGTTCCATTTTAGTGTTGACCCTGGTATCCTGAGTTACTCAGGGTCTAAGTAAATACAGGCTTGCAGCAGGTATGCAGGAGACGTGTGTGCTGTCTTTCCTGCTCTGCTCTTGTCCAGTGTCCTACATCTGTGTGTGCAGTGTTCAGCAATGGATCCTGCTGACAGCCTTGTCAGTTTAACATGCTCTTAGAGTAACAGCTTCATTTCAGCAGAATGAAGAGCGTAGTCTCTGAGGAGTGGCTGTGTCTCTTTCTCTTCTGTTAGCTGATACGCCTCCTCCTGCCTACATGCCGCCCGAGGATCAGATGGGTCACGACAGCTCCCAGCCCATGGACGCCAGCAGCAGCGTGATCCCCCAGATCGTGCCCAGCATATCCAGCAGGGGTGAGAAGAAGCCTCACTTTCTCTTTTGTTGGTGCTATTTTTATTTCTTTTCACTTCTTGGCCACTTTACTTTTTTGCAGTGCTAGGAATCCAATCCAGGGCCTCCTACTCTAGGTAAATAACTCCCACTGAGTTAATTTCCTGATCTTGGCCGCTTGTGCAAACACCTTGAGTGGAGTATGATTGTAAAATCAACTGTGTATGCAATCCAGTAGCTATGACGTTTTGGTTCAAAATGTAGTTTAAAAATACTGCTATAACCTTTCCCAAGAGATTTCCACCCCATCCTGGGCTCAACATACCTCTATTCTTATACAGATGTTTTTCTGAATGTTTCATAAAAATAGTCATGGGGACAGTGAGATGGCTTAGTGGGTAAGAGCCCTGCTGCTGAGCCTGATGACCTGAGTTTGTTTACCGGGAGTCACATGGTAGGAGAGGAACCCCCTCCCAGATAAATAGATGTAATATAATAAGTAGAGTTGTATATCATACCTTTAAAAGATTCATTTATTTTTGTTTTGTGTGTGTGTTTTCTGCATGGATGCGTGTGTACCACGTGCATATCTGTGGAGGCCAGCAGGTGTCAGATCTCCTGGAACTGGAGTCACAGTTGTGAGCTACAGTGTGGGTGTTGGGAACTGAGCCCAGATCTAAACCACTGAGCCATCTCTGCAGCTTCCGTGTATAATCTCTTACATAGTGTTGTCAAGGTCACCTGTGGGTATAGCGGTAGTTAGCAGACACTTGAACTACTTGTAGTTTTGATGAGTGTGCTGAGTAGCAGTGCTCTTAGGAGCGTGGTGTGCAGTATTTGTGTGAACATTGTTGTTTTCCTCTCTTGGGTAGATGTCTATGAGCAGAATTTCTGGCTCATATGATAACTGTAGCCATTTGACAAAAATTGCCAGACTTGCAAAGTGGCTGTGCCAGTGTCTGTCCAGCTTCTCCATGGCTTCCTAGTACTGTTACTGTTTAGCTTTCTAAAGATTATTGCACTTCATGAGTGTGAAGAACTCACTGTGTTTAATTTGTACACCCTGTTGAGTAATGATGGTGAATATTGAAGAATTTCTTTCTTTGGTGTTACTTTTTTTAAAATCTTCTGCCCATTGGCTTGGGTATGTCTTTATTGGAGTGTAGAGTTTTTTATACATTCTGGAAATGAACCACCCCTACCCTTTGTTGTGGTGTGATTTAACCCAGGTCACAGTGGTGGCAGTATATTAATTGTTTGCATGAAGAAACACTGTTCTAGATTAGTTTTTCTCTATTTAATTGGCATCTTATTAAAAATCTCATTGTGAACTTGGTTTGTTTAGAGACTTAATTTTGTTAATCAGTCTTTTATAACTGTACTGGGTAGTATCGGTTACTAAATTTTATAGTAAAGAATCTGTATCCGGTTTTTTATCATGGCAAAGTGCTCATAGCATAAACATTACCATCTTACTACTCTGAGTCCACTTCAGCGACAGTAGTCACACTCTCATTATTGTCTCATGACTTCATCATCAGCACCGTTTTACCTTGTGAAACCGATTCTCTATCCATTAAATAAGTCCTTACAGTCACTTCACCCTTCACCCCTGTAACCACCATTATTCTGTCCCTCTATCTAATTTTGATTACCCTTAAGTACCTCATATAAGTAGAGCCATACAATACTTGTTTATTATGGCTAGCTTATTTCACTTAGCTCCATACCCTTGAGGCCCATGTATGTTGTTGCATCTGTCAGAGTTTCATTCCTCAGGTGAACAATACTCTCTTGTGTGTGCCACCTTTGCTTGCCCACTCTCCACAGGAGGTGCTGTGCTGGTCCCATTTTTGCTCTGCTGTGTAAGGTACAGCCAGCACATTCAGAGGCTGGTTGGTTAGAGTGTTCAAATTTTGTGTGTCTTTGCCTGTTTTCTTTCTAAAATTAAAAGATTGAAGTCTCCAGCAGTTAGGGTAGACTTACCTATTTCTTCTTTCAATTCTTTTGATGATTGCTTCATATGTTTAGGGACTCTTGTCAAAACATACAATTCAGTAATACTAAATACATTCAGCATTGTGCAGCTCTTGTCACTGTTTCCAGAGCTTGTCATCCTCCTATACAGACTCCGTGCCCATTAAAGATCTCTTCATTTCCCTTCCTCCAGCCCCTGGTCAACAGCAGTCTACTTCCTGTCTGACGTTTCCTGTCCTGGGTATCTGACCTAGGTGGACTCTCCAGTGTCCAGTACCGGCATTTCCAAGGGTTCCAAGTGTATATTCAAATCTTACTCCTTATTAGGTCTGAATGACATCTGTGTTTGTTCCTCCATTTGTCTATTTATGAATACTTGGCTTTACTCTGCTTTTTGACGGTTGTACAGCAGACTGTTACTTGGGTCTCTGTACAATCCATCTGTCTGAGTGCTCTATATATTTGGGAGTAGAATTGCTGTTATACACTAATATAACTTTTATATTTTATATATATAACTTTAGAAACCCCCAAACTCTGCACAGAGCTCTATCCCTGTGTTCCCAGGGGTGCTGCATAAGCTATCGAGTTCTCCACATCCTCACCAGTTTGTTTTCTGTGTTTGTGTCATTGTCCTTGCTCTCCTCATCACCTTATAATGGCTGTTCTAATGGCTGTGAGGTGTGGTTTTAATTTTCAAATAAGAAATAGCGTGCCCCGCCCCCCCCCATGATGTTAGCACTCTGGTAATGCCTTACATTGGCACAAGTGTTTTACAGATCATATGCTGTCATTTTAGGGTTAGGGAGATGTATGTGTTTTATATTTGTGATAATAATCCACCGCTAACCCCATACCTGATGGTTAAAAAAACTAAAATCAGTAACAGGACACCTCTGCAAGTATTCCTGGTTTGCTTAGACCCTCACTTAGTTCTTTAACCCGTCTTTTTGTTTAGAATAATGCTACAGATATTTACATAGTTAAGTGTTTTAGTTACTAGAAAAGAATTTTATTTGACTAATTTAAGCCTGTATTAGTTTATGGTAGACCTACTTCAGAGGTGCTATTGCGACTGCATTTGGAATTGTGTCTTTCACAAATGATGTGTGGAACCCCTAAGCTCCAGTATGGTTGTATGTATAGAGATGCGGGCTTCGGGGAGGCAGCCAGGTCTAAATGAGGTCATATGGATGGGGTCCTCCTGGGGAGGTGAGTGGGGTCTTTATAGAGTCCTGGAGCACAAGCCAAGGGCAGGTTGTATTGGCAAAAAGCAGGAGGATAGCTGTCTACAGACCAGGACATGACCCCTCATTAAAACTAAAGCCACCAGGAGAAATAGAATTCTGTTGCTTACATCACTCCATCAGTGGTGTTTCCTAGAGCATCCGACACCACCTGAGACAGAAGTTGTGCCTTTGTTTAGATCTCTAAAAATAAGGGTGTGGTTTTGGAATCAGTGGACTGGAGAAAGAGCTAGTGAAGTGACAGATAATGTGGAGTGAGGAGCCCTTGCGTCCCTTAAGGGACACTTGACCTTCATGTGTAGAATCCAGTGCCGAGGCTGATGCTTCTGCACTTTGCAGCCTGAATGAGGCACACGGGTGATGGAGGAATGGCTTCCTTGTAGCACACTGGTGGGGACTTGGTTGGATTGTGTTGATGTTCTAGTGTTTTGTGGAGGGTAGAACTTTAGAGATGCAAAATCAGTTATTTAGCTGTAGAGATTCTCGACTGGTTTCTCCTGATTACTAATAGTAAAATATGAAAAGAATGAAAAGAAAGATTAAAAAGGGAACAGTTACTTTAAAAAGAACTTAAGATTTCAGAGGTTGTTTTCATCTCATACACATTGTAAATACTAATGTGTGTTTGGAGGGACACTAAGGATTTGTTTACGCTTGATAGTGTATTACTATGGGTGTGACGTAGGGACCTGACGCGTCCCCTCCATCAGGAACAGAGTTAATTTGAGAGGACAGAGTAAGAAGGCTGATAGACTTATGAGACAGTACATTTAAGCTATTTGGTTGTAAGACGAAGAGCTGGTCCTGAGGGTGATTGTTTTGTCAGGCTGGATGAACTAACAGGTGAGGATGCGTGGTCTGCAGGCATAACTTAATGCACAGTTCAGCCGTGTTACAGCTGAAGAGGCATTTTCCTTGAGAAATCTTCTCTAACTTAACTATGAACCTTACAGTTTTTGCTGGTATGAATTAAGTCTCTGGGGACTTGGGAGGTGGGATTTATGTATTTTTTGCATGTGAGACAGTGGTGAAATAGTAAAAAACCTAATTGTTAGTCTCTCCGATTATGTTGAAACCTTAACTCTCAGTATAATGCTGCTTAGAGATAGGGCCCTTTAAAAGGCAGTTAAGTTTAAGTAAATTCCTGAGATTAGGTTCCTTACATAATTAGACACAGAGGTCAGGGAGATGGCTCTGTGGGTAAAAGCACTTTCTTGGGCAAGCCTAATGACTTGATTTCAGATCCCTGGAACCACCATACCAAAAACTCTAGCATGTCTCTGTGACCTCAGCACTTTTCCAGTGAGGTAGGAAGTGGATGCAGCCTGGAGTGTGTGGCAAAGCAGAAATAAGAGAGACCCTGCCTCAAAACAAAGTGGAAGGCAAGAAGTACATGTGTGTGCACGTGAGTGTATGTGTGCGCACACACATAGACACACAGAGTATGCCCTGAGGTAAGGCCTTATGAGCACACAGCAAGAGGGCAGCTCTCTGTTTATAAACCAGGAAGTGAGTCTCCACTAGACAGCGCATCTGCTGACACCTGATATCTGAGCCTCTGGAATAAACTGTGAGACATAATTGTGATGACTTTGTTATTGTTGTTTTGTTTTGAATTTAAGCCATTCAGTCTGTGGCATTTTATTACAGCTATCTGAGCAGACCAAGATGAGTTGCCTTGGACTCTAATGCAGGAATGTCAGTGAAATTTAAATGAAGTATCTATTTTCTTTGTCATGTAATGCTTGGCTAGGCTAAATGGTAAATAAATAGTCAAAGACACTGGCGGGTCAGATAACCAGTTACTAAACTTCCTTTCTGCTTTCAGATGTCCAGCCTGTTGCCTATGAAGAGCCCAAACACTGGTGTTCAATTGTCTACTATGAGCTAAACAACCGAGTTGGGGAAGCTTTTCATGCATCTTCTACTAGCGTGTTAGTAGATGGATTCACAGACCCTTCAAATAACAAAAGTAGATTCTGCTTGGGATTGTTGTCAAATGTTAATCGTAATTCAACTATTGAAAATACTAGGCGACATATTGGAAAAGGTAATCTTGTCACTTCATTCCTTTGAATTAAGTCCTTTTCTATTTTTTTGTACAAGTCATTGCAGAAGGTACTGGAAACATCCAAAAAAATCTCAAGGCATGGCTTTTACCTCAAGTTGCAGATGTTAAAGAATGTGATCAAATAAAGACTCGACCAGTCCTCTCTTCTTTATCCTGTTTGGTTTTTCTTTCTAGTACTGACTATTGAAGTCCTGTTGTCAGCTTCTTCAATGTTTATCCTAACAGTTAGGGCAGATTAAGTCAGGGCCTAAGTGGAATGTCAGAGACACAGGGATTCACCTTGTTCACAGCAGTGTCCTCAATAGCTAGAACAATGCTTGGCTCATAACATATTACAAAAATCTTTGCAAAATATATGCATGTTGGTGAAGGATTAGAAATGTAAGATTATTGCATTTGGAGTGTTTTCTGTTCTGAGATTAGCACAGTATTGGGAAGTGGAGTTTGAGGCAGAAGTAGACGAAGAATATCAAGAAACTTCATTCAATAGAGTTCACTTATAATCTGCCAGGGAATGTAGTTGCTAGAAAAGTATAGTACTTTGCGTACTGCGTGGAATGCCAGTGTCACACATGAGAGGCGGCCACCTCCGTAGGCTGCTTTGCATGTCTCTTGAACAGTTTTGCTTTTACATCGCTGCTGCTCTGTGCTGCTTTGACTCGAGTGTTAGTCAAAGATAGTGACAATGGCAGATAATAATTGTGATAGGCTTTCTTATAGGAAAGATTCAGAAAAACAAGCTGAAGCTGGGTGAAGTCATTCACACCTCTCGTCCCAAGTCTAGGCTAAGGTCACGGTGGGTCCCAAGTTGAAAGCCATCCTGGACTACATAACAAGACTGTCTTTAAAAAAACAACAAAAAAACCCAAAATGTTTTTGAGCAGTTTCTACTGATTTCATTGTCAACTTGTCCTGATCTTTTTTGTGAAATGTGTCTCTTTTGTGTGTAGATCTTCCAGTCCTTCCTTTCCTACTACAGTGAAGATAATTTAAGGGCTTCTCTTTGGTCAATGCTAAGATCAGTTTTCCCTTATTGGCCAGTATTCCCACTCTGCAGTCTTTTGAGCCTGCTCCATTTGTGTTTACTCAGAAGCAAACCTCGGTTTTTAATACCATATGTTGACACAATTCTGTTAATTATATTTGGGCAGAGATTTGCATCTATGTAGCTCTTGCTAAAAGGCTGTGTGTGTGGTCACGGACAGTAATGGCAACTTGTTCGTTGAGAGTGGTCAGTATTCTCTTATCATCTAGAACATGGCATGCTGTCCTGTGAGTAAGGCAAGAGTGTGTGCTTCTGAACAACGGTGACTTATTTAAAAATAAAGCAAGGTTTCCGCCCACAGACGCACACAAACATACTATATAGGAACATACATGTAATTTAACCTGTGCTGCACGTTTAAAAGGATATACACCAAGTTCAGAGCAGTGTCTACTTAATGGGGATGGAAAACTTGAGGTAATTCTTAGATACATTGGAGAAGTATCTGGTGGGTGAGTTAGCTTTTCAGCAGTTTAGCTTAAATTTTACTATTAGAACTGCTTTCTCATAGCTTTTAAAAGTATATTTTTAGAAAACTTTTAAGAAGTTGCATTATATTATTTTGTGTGTATAGGTATTTTACCTATGGGTATGTCTGCACTACATGCATACAGTGCCCTCAGAGGCTATAAGGAAAGGGATCTCCTGGGACTAGAGTTTTAGATGGTTGTGAGCCGCCATGTGGGTGCTGGGAATCCAGCATGGGTCTTCTGCAAGAGCAGCCAGTGCTCTTAACTGCTGAGCCTTTGCTTTAGGTCCAGGGAGGGAGGGAGGGAAGGAAGGAAGGCAGAAAAAAAAATGAATCTGCCATTTGAAAGCTCTTTCTGGAGAAAAAAAAAAAAAAAAGGAAGCTCTTTCTATAACCTGAAGTCAAATATGTGTGTGTGTATTTCTGTGGGTGATGGTTGAAATGCTGTGGTCCTCTTTGCTAACAAGCAGTGGAAAACGTCACTAACTTACATGATCATGGTAACTCCAGGCAACTCTTTGAAAGCACTCATAGAGTGAATTTTTAAAGAGCATCTTTTCTTTGGTAGAGAAACAAAGATGGTTGGAAGAGCAAACGTGAACCGTGGGAGTAGACATTTTAATCACCCTGCCAGTTGCAGCCCTAAGGATCTTTCAGAGTTAGGCTGATTACTTTTGGCTGCTGAAGGCCATCTAGTGGTGATTGTTGGCGTTTGCTGTGCATTTCTGGGTGCTGTGGCTGGCTGCACGTCTGTCTCTTACAGTGCATCACTCCGCCTTTCTCGGTTGCCTCTCTTTCAGGTGTGCATCTGTACTACGTTGGTGGGGAGGTGTACGCCGAGTGCCTTAGTGACAGCAGCATCTTTGTGCAGAGTCGGAACTGCAACTTCCACCATGGCTTCCACCCTACCACTGTCTGTAAGATCCCCAGTAGCTGCAGCCTCAAGATTTTCAACAATCAGGAGTTTGCCCAGCTTCTGGCTCAGTCTGTCAACCATGGATTTGAGGCTGTGTATGAGCTCACCAAGATGTGCACCATTCGAATGAGTTTTGTCAAGGTGAGTGGTTTGATCTATAATATGACTTCATGCAGTATAAAAAATTATTAGATGAAGATAATCACTACTTCTGACCCGATTTGTTATATTTTAAATGAAATTCTTAAATTTAATATTTTAACCAAATGACAGGCTATTTCATTTTGTAATCTACACATAAAATCCTTGATAATTTTGATATTAGGTAAGGATTTTAAAATATTTCAGTTAGGAGACTAAATTATTGGTAAGCATTTACTATTGAAATTGCATTTTGAGTGCCTCACATTCCATCACAGTGACTTGGGAGACTTAACTATGGTACTAACTTACTTTATGTGGCTCAGCCCTGTGCAAAGGATTTAGAAAGCCTGTCACTTACTTTGTTTCATTTTGGTTTTTCAAGACAAGGTTTCTCTCTGTAGCCCTGGCTGTCCCGGAACTCACTAGACAGGCTGGCCTTCAGCTCATAGACATCTGCCTGCCTCTGCCTCCTGAGTGTTGGAATTAAAGGTGTGCGTCACCATCACCTGGCAAGAATGTCATTATCATTTACAGCCTGCTTTTATTGAACATTTCAAAGATTGTGTCTCATTAGCAAAATGAGAAAATCATAGTGGTGGAATTGTGCACGTGGCGCTGTTTCCCCTGGTCATGGAGGGTTAGTTCAGGAAGAGCAGCAGCTCATACAAGGGCGAGTCTGTTTGCTTGCTCATTTTTTGTTTTGCTTTTTGGCATTTAATCCCAGTCTACTGTTTTTTTGTTGCTTATCAATTATCTGAATTTACTTTCTGTTCCCTCTTTTGAAATGTGGCTTTTTTTCTATTTATTCTCCAGTTGCTCTGCCTGCACATTTCTCTCTATAACCTCTAGTTTCCCTGAGGCAAGGACTAATCAAAAAAACTGAACTTGATAAATCAAGAAAATAAAAGTAAAAAAATAGATCAGTTTTTATCTGGAATTTACTTTATCTTATTAATTTCTCATCTTTAAGGATAATGCTTAATGTGATTACTACAGAAAATAAAAACAACAGAAGCCCCCCAAACTCTTAAAAACCTTTTTTTGTGAGAGATCATAGTCTGTGGCTTTTGTAAAATTTAAAAACATTCTAAAATAAATATATTTGGCCCCATGGGTCTATATCAGAAATTTTGTTATTTATTAAAAGTTTATAGCTTTGAATAATGCAAGGATTTTCTTTTAGTATCGTGGTGAATGGTGATTGGTTTTCTGTAGTTGTTCAGTTTAAGTATGTTTTTATTGTTACAGTTGGCGCAGTCTGCTGACTGTTGAAGAGGGTTTGACTGGCTTTCTGTCCATTTTCAGGGCTGGGGCGCAGAGTACCATCGGCAGGATGTGACCAGCACCCCCTGCTGGATTGAGATCCACCTCCATGGGCCGCTCCAGTGGCTGGATAAAGTCCTTACTCAGATGGGATCGCCTCTCAACCCCATTTCCTCTGTCTCATAGTGCAGAAGCACTCTTCAACTCTATCTTAGCGGACTTGTTTTAATTTTAGAGGAATTTCCAGTACAGATACTGTGAGCTGATATGGAAAAACAGATATTATGGCTTATTTTTTCTACATAATTGTGACCAACACATTTGTATTTTGTGATGAATTTACATTTGTTTGTATTCATGTTCGTTGTGATTAACTTTCAAAAGTATTGTAAACAATGTTGAGTATTTTGCCCCCATTGAGAAGTTTGGCATTGACCTTAAACTGGAACATGCTTGTGTTTATTGTCCCAAGAGTTTTTAATTTGTTAATTTTTTACAAAGTAGTGCATCACATAATGAAGATTTATCCTGTAAGAGGGCAAAAACACACAAAAACTCCTAGGTGATATGTTTCTAGTAATTTCTTTGTCCTATCACCTTTGAAAAAGCATCGTACATTGTTTTGCAAAGACATGGTAGAGGCTTAAAGGAAACTGTTGACTCTAATTTGAAGGACACTGTGCACTCCTAACGTGACGTTCAGTGACAGCAAGATGGTGGATTTCTAGATGTCATACAGAGACATTTAATATAGCTAAGTGTTTGTCAATGTAATGTGACTTTGTGCTATATATCATTTGTAAAACATTTCCTTTTTAAAAATCTCTATTATATGTCGTTTACTCAAGTTTGTCATAAGTTTTACTTAACAGTTACAGTGTGTGCACGGCCTTGTTCAGCTGTGTTTGCTGCTTTGGGCCAGTGTTTCAAGAACTCTAATTTTAATGTGCATTAATCTTTTCATTTTGCACTTTTATGGGTGACAGGTTTTAGTGTAACCTCTGGTAACACGCAGTCAGGTGATCTGGTCTTAGATCTTCTCTTTCCCTCCTTGGCACTCCTTTGCATCAACACTGCCATTTAGAGACTACAGTTGTAGAACATGATGCTTTGCTAGCTTTTAATTTTCAACCTAATTTTGAAGGTGTTATTCTGTAGCTCCTACCAAGGTGCCTGCTAACTCCCTACAATGTTATGGGTGTTATTAATGTTGAAAGGCCATGTACTTAATACCACTGCTCTTACACCAGACTTCTCATACAAGGACCTATGCAGTGTAGCCGTCAGAGGCTTTTGGTTGGGCCCCGAGGATGAGGCTGCTTGCTGGTGTGATTGTGAGTGAATCATCAGAGGGGTTGGGACAGCTCATTTCAAACTTCTGTAACAAAGAATGTAGACTTGTCTCTCTTCGTGCCGGTGCTCTGCCTTTTCTTTTTTATCCTTTTAGAATCCACATCGATGCTAGTCTCCAGAACACCGACTTCTCAGACACAAGACGGGGGTGCTGTAAGACACCTGCTCAGTTCCCTATGCCGTTGGCCTTAGGACCCGAAACCACTTTCTAGGGAGCAAAGGAGATGGATGGTTGCGGCCTAAGAATGATCAAGAAGAAAGCGACCTGATTTCCCTGTCAGAATGAGAAGCTTGGTTTTCTAACGACATTTGATTCTGCTGCTGAGATTGTTATTTTGGTTTGACTTTTTATAGTGCCCTTCCTGCCTTAATGAGGAAGGCATAGCTTTTTTTTGGGGGGGGGGAGTCCTTTTGTTTTCTGTGTCGTTATTTATTGCCTCTCAGAGTATAGTCATTTGGATGGCTTTGCTCCTTCAAAGGAAGTGCTTTGCTGGGTCTTCAGTATAAGTATTCCATAGCATATATTTTCAGATTTGCAGAGTGTATCAGCCCCATGAAAAAGAATATCTGCTTTGTAATTGTTCTTTTATTTAGCAGGCTCATGGTACAGTCTTTAAGAGCAAGGTTGTAGGAAGCCGTCTGGAGTTGAATGCTAGGTCCATGTCAGTGAGCTCTGCTGAAGTCTGGAAGCAAGTGCCTTGCTCATTCCTTTCTTTACCAGGGGGGTTATGTGTTGTTTCTCCAGAGTCATCATGTCACAGCCTTCCTGGTTGCAGGGTGCTATGTGATCCGCCTTCTGTGGAATGGCAGGACTAAAGCTCTTAGCTGTTCAGAGTTTCTTGGAGAAGTACAAATCTGTTTCTTACAAGATGTCAACATCCCCTGTGATCTGTAAATGAGCTCCTCTAGTGTCTAAGGATATACTTATGTCTGTGTAGAAGAAGAAAGTGCTCATAAGGTAAAAACAAAATGCATGCATCTCTGGCCTGCCAAAGGCAGTACTTCTAAAGAAGCTATTCGAGAAAAGTGTGGCTCTAACTTGGTGTTTGGTGCAGGAAATGTTGGCCATCAGACCCAGAACAGCAGCACTGGTACAGTCCCTCTGTGATGAGTCTCATGTGGTCCAGGCTGGCATTCAACATACGAAGTTGCTGAGGATGGCCTTGAGTTCTGATCCTTCTGTGTGTACCTCCCAAGTGTTAGGATGACAGACACCCACCATCATACCCAGCTTCTGTGGTGCTGACGATCAGACTCAGGACTTCATGCATGCTAGGCGCGTGCTCTGCCAACTGAGTGACATCTTTAGTTCAGTGTTGACATTTTTAGCATGCAAAATACATTAATATATGCCAAATAAAAAGATAGATTTGCAAATAATGAAAATTGCCATCAGTTTGGTGGATTCTGCAAATGGCAGAATCAGAATCTCAGTCACTAGAAAAAAGCAGTACCTGAGAGGTCCATTTGACTAGTGTATCTATCTACAGGGTAGCATGATGGCCTGGTTGTTGTTAGCAAACTAAATTTATTACCTGTAAACTAGTAGGCATGCTGTTGGCCTACCAGAACCACTACTATACTTGAGAGAAAATTGTAGGAAGAAACAAGTTTTAAAATAGCAAACAAATAGAATATCAATCTTTTTTTTCTGTAATGTTTCATGGTTGTTGGTATGAAAAAAGTTGTTGTAGAAGTATCTGGGTTGCTTATGAGACCAGTATTAAGATTGCTAGATATAACCCTCAGCCAGCCACACTAATAATGCAGGTAGGAAATGTGCCGTTGTTTATAACGATTGAAAGTTAAGACACCTTTGGGGGATATAAATGACAGTGACATGGCAATATGAAATATATTGTCAAAGTAAAACCTGGGGGGCTTACCTTGCACAGCCTCTCTACTGCCTGAGAGGACCTGTGGGAAACAATTCCTTCCCTTGCCAGTAGTGCCTTTGGGAAGAGAGAGATATAAAACAATCTTACTGTTGGAGAGAAACCGAGACAGGTGGGCATGTCAAGTTTTGTGCTTGCACTCCAGAGAGCACCAGGGCGGCTCTGAGGGTCCTATCTCCACGTCCCTAGTCATTTCCCTTGGAGTACTTGGGTCGTTTTCCTATCTCATTAAAAGTTGTGTCTCTTTTGCTTCCTGAAGATGAAAGACTCTTGAAAATCATTTTTTATTTATTTCTTTGGGTTTTTTGTTGTTGTTTTGAGACACAGTCTCTTTGTATATCCCTGGCTAACCTGGAAATTACTGTGTAGGCTAGCCTCAAACTTGGGGTAATTCTCTTGCCTCTGCTTCTGAAGTTCTAGGATTACAGGCATGTGCCCCAGGTATAGTGCTCTCTGCTGGTTTGTAAAGTTCAGCCCCTGCTGATGGTTTGCATGGAGACCTTTGAAGTGCTCCGAACCCCTTTCTTTGTCTTAACAAGTCAGTCCTCTGCTACCTGGGGTCTCCGTAAAAATGTGTGTTCTCTGTGTACACAGAGCTAAACAAGCAGACAGCTTTTAAAGTAGGTAACCTGTGGGTTTAGAAGCATTTCATGATTTTAGGGGAGGGAGTTTTCCTAAGTGGTGGTTTATAGGTGGCCCCAATACTAACTAGGGTGACCTTTTGAAGGTAATGGCCAGTTAAGTGGCTGTTACCCTCATAGCAGTAGGGTTTTATCTTTTGGAAGGTACCAATTCTTCGAAGTTTTTCTTGTTCAATAAAATGCATGTATAGGAAGTGAAAGGCATGTGTTGTACACTAGCCGAGCATTCTGTCTGCTGGACACACACTTGGGCATAACTGTTTGTCGTCAGGCCGTGTGTCACTGGGTCCTTAGGGAAAGGAGGGTCTTTCCTGGTTGGAGCTGGAGCTCAGTGGTGGATAGAGCACGTCCCTAGCAGGCATGAAGCCCTGTGTTCAGTCCCCAGCAGTGCACAAAACCAAATGAGACAGATACAGAACACAACTGTACTATAATTGATGTGGCCACCCACAGCTGGATGGCATGCCGGAACTGAGGACAGGAAATTCATAGTGGCATTTTTAAAAAGTGGGAATGCCTGTTAAAACATTTAGCTGGTGACAGTTGCTGTTCAGCGATGACCTCTTTCTTACCCTGCAAAGATCCAGTCCCAAAGCCGACTTTGCCCTCAGAAGAGAGAAGTTTGTGTAGTCCCTGTCCAGGTAACTTAGTTCTAAATTTTAAATTTAGTTCTTAGTTTAAAATTTTTAAAGTCAACATAAACAGTTATCATTTAAGGAGTTGTTTGAAGTTGCTCTTTTTAAAAAGCTCTGAATTTTGTGTGCAGGTAGGATGCCTATCTGCTCCCTCCCCAGCTGTAGGTCATGCCTTTGTTACTGTGAACTGGTGTTAGGCCAAAGAGTTAGTCCCAACTCCTTTAGAAAGGAAGTCTTTTAAGTCGGTCGGTTGTGCTCTTCTGATACCATTTGCAAGGCCAATGCGTTGGCATTGTCATAGGAGCTAAAGCATGGCTGTTGGCCATGGTAGCCTCTAACATGGCTGCTTAAAGATGCAGTGTAAGTTTATTTAAATTCGGGTAAGACTATAATCATGGAGAATGCATAGCTTGTGTGCACCTGTCTGCCTTCCTCAAGGAAGTGATCTCATGTGGATGGTGAAGAGCAAACCGATGACTGGCTGCACTGTGGTCTGCTTACATGTATTGGTCCTGCTTCTGTTCCTGTTGTAGAAAACGAAACTAGCCGCACGCTTCAACTCTGCTACTTTTGATACTTACAGAAATGTATTAGGTTTTGCTATATTGTGCTTCTCAAAGCCATAACTCTTAAGAAATTTGTTTTTGCATATTGTTTGCTAATACTTTATTTTAATAAATCTCAAAATTTGCTTGTGGCGTCTGTTTTTGTTTATTTTCTGGTACTTTGCCCTGATTCATGATTCATATAGTGGCGACCTAAGGACGGTGAGATTTTCATTGATGCAGAATTACCAGTGCTGTCAGCAGAAGATGCATAGACCTCATGTGTGCCCTCTAACCACACACACACACACACACACAGACCTCATGTGTGCCCTCTAACCACACACACACACACACACACACACATGAGTTGTGCTCAGGTAGTTTTGTCCATTCCTTTTGTATGGGAGTTGCTGTCCTTTTCTTTTTTGTGTTATAGGGAGTTCCTGTCTTTGTTTTTTGTGTGTTTTGTTTTGAAGAAATATTAAGGCCTATTTGGTAGTTTAATTCAGTCACTGTTTTCTAGATCTCTAAATGAGGGGGCCTTGCTTATAAAAGCCAGCTGTACTGAGTCCTGGGCCTCTGGCTCTGTGCTCTTCAGCAGGATGCTTAACTAATCTGTGCCTTAGATTCTGCATCTATAAAATAATACTTCATAGAAAAATGAAGCAGTATAAGTCAAAGTGTTTAGAAAACCGCTTGGAATAAAATAATCATTAAACTATCTGTTAAGTTTTGTTACTTTGATTTAAAGCAAGTATTTCTAGTACTATTTGACCTTGACCTTAGTTGATATACTGTCAATGGTCTACACTAGCTAAGCTTAAAAAAAAAAAAAAAACCTTTTAAAAGTTACTTATTGTGTGTATACGTGTGTATGGGCAGTCATGTCATAGTGTGCTTGTTGAGGTCAACACAACTGGGTATTCTGTTCTACCATGTGGATCCCAGGTAGCAAACTCAAGTCCTCAGGTGTGCAGCATGTGCCCGAGCTCTCAGGCCCAGCTAGTGATTCTTTTTTTGAGTTTTGTCTCCTTTCCTTTCTTTGGTAACCAAAGGCAGACTAGCTACTGTAATCCTCGTCTGCTGTGTGCCTTCCCTGGCAGCGCCATGGCCAGCCAGAAGGAGAAAACTTCAGTCTAGGTTCTTTATGGCAGAGAATAAAGTGAAAGAGCCCAGTATTCTCCTCTTTAGGGACAGTGCTTTCTTAGAGGAATTCCTGCAAGCCAGGCAGTGCATTACTTGACTTTGTTTTGTGGCAGTCTCTGGTTGGGTTCGAAGCACGGTGCACCATGACGCTGGCTTCTTGAAGCCTGATGTGATCAGCGCTCATGCTGGGAGGACCCAGACAGCGGGAATGATGAGCTGCAGGCCTGCTGGATGCTGTCCATGCAGGAGACAGCGGTGTTCGCAATGTTAGTTTCATAAGCATGCCTGAGAAGGCCATGGACAAGCTGGCAGTCCTAAGAGAGTTCTATTTAAAACTATGAATATATGCTGGAAAGAGGAGTTTTCAAAATACCCCCCCCATTTAAAGTACAACAAGATTTTATTGAGTCTAATTAATTATTTTTTCATTTCCTTTCAGCCTTAGTCTTCCCTTTCCATTTGCTGCCTTAAGGAATAAGGGATCGGGCAGTGGCAGTAGGGAAACCTAGAAGATAACCCGTGGGCATCTTGCCTCCTCCAGGCTTAAAGGTATTTAGACAGGACAGGGTAAGTGGGTTTTGGCCAGTGTTCAGGACGCTTACTCTGTGTTGAATTGAGAGGCAACTAAGTTTAACTCCTGGCGAGAGCAGTTTATTTGTGTCTGGAGATGGGTTGTTTATTTTTTGTTTGAGCCAGAATCTCATGTAGTCATGTTGCCAAGGGTGACCGTGAGTTCCTCACCTCTTGCCTCTAGTTTCTGAGTGGTGGGATTACTGGTGTGGCCCATCAGGCAGTGGCCATCAAGCCATGTGCGTGCCAGGCAGACCCTGCTTCGGCTGAGCTGTACCTACCCCAGATGACTTGTCTTCATCCCACCCTTCTTCATTCCATAAACTTTATGCATCTCGTTTTAAGGAGAAATTTAACAGCACAGAAAAGCACACACTAAAACTCTCAGACTAGTAGCTAACCACTAGACATTTAGGTATGTGCTCTAATTGTCTGTTCAGGTAGACACCCGCTATTGGTCCTTGGCTTCCTTCGACAAATTCATAACTCATCATGGGTGACACTCTGTGTGTGGGGGGGTGTTCCATGGGTATGTAGATGTACATTCACCTACGCAAACTGCAGATTGATCTTGGCTGTCTTCCTTTGTCACTATCTACTGTTGGGGACAGGAGCTGGACCTCACCTCACGGTTTGACTAAAGTGGCTGGGCAGCAAGCTCTGGGATCCATCTGTCTGCCCACCAGTACCGGCTCTCTCTCTCTCTCTCTCTCTCTCTCTCTCTCTCTCTCTCGCTCGCTCCCTCTCTCTCCCTCTGTCTCTCTCTCTCTCTCTCTCTCGCTCGCTCCCTCTCTCTCCCTCTGTCTCTCTCTCTCTCTCTCTCTCGCTCGCTCCCTCTCTCTCCCTCTGTCTCTCTCTCTCTCTCTCTCTCGCTCGCTCCCTCTCTCTCCCTCTGTCTCTCTCTCTCTCTCTCTCTCGCTCGCTCCCTCTCTCTCCCTCTGTCTCTCTCTCTCTCTCTCTCTCGCTCGCTCCCTCTCTCTCCCTCTGTCTCTCTCTCTCTCTCTCTCTCGCTCGCTCCCTCTCTCTCCCTCTGTCTCTCTCTCTCTCTCTCTCTCGCTCGCTCCCTCTCTCTCCCTCTGTCTCTCTCTCTCTCTCTCTCTCGCTCGCTCCCTCTCTCTCCCTCTGTCTCTCTCTCTCTCTCTCTCTCGCTCTCTCTCTCTCTCTCGCTCTCTCTCTCTCTCTCTCTCACACACACACACACACACACACACACACACACACACCTGGCTTTATGTGTGCGCTAGGGATCTGAACTCAGTCCATGTTCTCACAGCACTTCACTCACTTACCAGCCCCAGACAATGAGTGGTGCTCTACACCCCACTTCTCATGTGGCTTCTCAGAGAAACTGGTTTGATGTCAATTTTTCTTTTTTTAACTTTTATTTTTGAGATTATAATATAATTATATAATTTACCCCTTCTCCTTCCAAGTCGTCCTACAACCCTCTGCTTTCCTTCAATCTACGGTCTCTTTCCTCATTAGTGGTTACTGCATGCTTATATGCATACACAGACACATAGTGTTCTCCCAGACACAGCCTGCTCGCCTGTACAGTGTCACCTGCGTGCCTGCCTGCCTTCAGGGCTGGCCACCAGGCACTGGGCCACCCACCCGTTGGTGTGCTTCTCCCAGGAAGACCCCTCTCCCACCCTCAGTATTGTCCAGTTGCCTGTCGTTCTCTGTGTGGGGCTGAGGCCTCACACTCTTTCATTATCTACTTTGGCATGTCTGGTGTTGTCCTTGTTGAGTTTATGTTGATGCAGCCATTTTGGTGAGACTTTTTAGTATAGCGTTGGTGCAGCAGCTATGAAAGTCAGCATGGAAATCTTTCAAGTGAAAAACAAATCTCCCGTGTGCCCCAAAGACTCAACACATACCATGTTCATTGAACATGCTCAGCCATGTTCATTGCTACTCTGTTGGCAATAGCTAGGAAATGGAAACAGCCTAGATGACCTTCAGCTGATGACTGGATAATGAAAATGTGTGTGGTCCCTAGGCGCTATGGAATACTCTTCAGCTGTAAAGAAAGTCATGAGCTTTCCAGGTAGAACTAGAAAAGATATTGGGTGAGGTAAACCCAGACCCGGAAATAGAACGTCCAATTTTCTTTCTTGGAAGCTCTTGGCTCCAAATCTTCAGGTGGGACATATCATGGAGTAACTGCAGAAACCAGGAAGTAAGTGGGGACTATTACCAGAGTTGGGGGAGCAATAGGGAAGGAAATAGGTACATGTGATCTGGTTGGGAAGGGGGGGTGTCTCTGATTGGGGAGGAGCAAGGGAGATGAGCGATGGAAAGGAAAGAGGTAAAATAACAGTAAAGATGTCTGAAACAATGATAATGAATCATCATTACCTTAGAAAGTCTGTAATACATGTAAGTTTACATATAAATACATTATTTAACCTTTAATCCCAGCACTTGGGAGGCAGAGGCAGGCAGATCTCTGTGAGTTCGAGGCCAGACTGGGCTATAGAGCGAGCTCCAGGAAAGGCTCCAAAGCAATAAAAAGAAACCCTGTCTCAAAAAAAAAAAAAAAGAAAAACAAAACAAAAAACCTGAACAAACGTTATTTAAGTGAAAATTTCTCATTTGGGCTGACAGTGCTCCCTCCAAGAGCCAAAGACCATCTGACATCCTTCCCACCCCTCCACCCCCCACGCCAGGCATGAGAAGACTTTTTTGAGTTGTTGGTCAGGGTGTCCAAGAGACTCCCGAAACATTACAGGCTATTGCTGTTACCTGCTTGGCTGTGTCAGCACTTATGAAGACAGACCTACTTCCCCTGTTGGATCAATCAGTTCCCAAATCTGCTGAAGACGTGCTGACAAAATACTGAAGCCGGTGCGATTTTAATACTGAGTTCACCTTTTAAGTAACTTAATAAGACAATTTTTAGTTAAATTGAGTCTAGCTCAACATCATTAGAGCTCATCACCACATCTCAAAGGGAAATTTGGCTAAGAAATTGCAGCACTTAATCTATTCTTTGTCTTTGAACCCTTGGGCCTTTGCCGTGATGTAATCAGGTGCTGTAACTTGCTTAGCTGACCTATAAAATTAGCAGTTGAGTTGGTACTTTCACCTTTTGGCATTTGGTGTTCTCTCAGAGAAAGTAAAAAGGACAGGAGACCAGAAGAGACACGCGTACTCTTATTTTAGAGCTTAGAGGTGAATGCTGTCTTATCTTTGTACTCTGGCCTAGGCCGGGGAGGTTCTTCCTCCCCAACGCTTGCACATAGGAAAGGCCTTTCGTGGCTCTCAGATGGGCTACTGCACAGAAGGCCTCTGAGAGCTAGATTAATTTTGGTGGAGGTTATGTGGGTGATAAAGGCCCAGGACTTGGACAGCTTTGTGTCAACATTAGTTCAAAAGTGTAATTAACAGCAAACATTCTACAATTAATCTCCTCACACTTCTG